GCACTATAGAGTATCTCTTAGAACGCCGTTACGTAACTGGAAAAAGCACTGCACTATAGAGTATCTCTTAGAACGCCGTTACGTAACTGGAAAAAGCACTGCACTATAGAGTATCTCTTAGAACGCCGTTACGTAACTGGAAAAAGCACTGCACTATGTATCTCTTAGAACGCCGTTACGTAAATGGAAAAAGTTATGTAACTGGAAAAAGCACTGCACTATAGAGTATCTCTTAGAACGCCGTTACGTAACTGGAAAAAGCACTGCACTATAGAGTATCTCTTAGAACGCCGTTACGTAACTGGAAAAAGCACTGCACTATAGAGTATCTCTTAGAACGCCGTTATGTAACTGGAAAAAGCACTGCACTATAGAGTATCTCTTAGAACGCCGTTACGTAACTGGAAAAAGCACTGCACTATAGAGTATCTCTTAGAACGCCGTTACGTAACTGGAAAAAGCACTGCACTATAGAGTATCTCTTAGAACGCCGTTATGTAACTGGAAAAAGCACTGCACTATAGAGTATCTCTTAGAACGCCGTTATGTAACTGGAAAAAGCACTGCACTATAGAGTATCTCTTAGAACGCCGTTATGTAACTGGAAAAAGCACTGCACTATAGAGTATCTCTTAGAACGCCGTTATGTAACTGGAAAAGAAAAGCAAGTTCTTAAAATATTTCATTCTTAGAACATTTGCTTAAAAAACTCCAGAGAGGAAAGGATGGTATGTATGAAGAAGTGTAAAATTGAGAAAACAGAAAATGCTAATTTTATAGGTGAGCTACTCACATTTTTTTTTTTTTTTTTTCTTAAAGAAATATCGTTATCAGACTTAACTGGAAAAAAAAAAAAATAGTTCATTGCACTATATTTACAAAGTATTCTATAGTTTTTTTGCTTAATATCGACTTGTTATACATAAATGATATAGATATTTGGAAGTTTAAAAAAATTGTCGCAGTTTTTTTATTTAAATATATTTCATATATTTCATATTTCAATTTATACTTTTACTATTTTCCTAGCCTTCTGCACCCAAGGTTGCAGGTTTGAACCCAGCCCAAATCGGTGGATTTTTATCATACAGAAAATCGACAGCGGCCATGTCGTATGATTATACGGCATGTAAAAAGATCCTAGAGAGTCTGTTTCGCTTAGGTACTCTCGAAAAAATTAAATCCTAATACAGGTTCGCATTGACAGAGCCCTGGCGCCTGGATGTCAAAATTACCTGCATTGATTGGTATCCGCCTATTTGGTGCCTCACTAAAAAAGAACGTTTCAAAATGGAAAATCCGCAGCCCATTAGAATTTTTTAAAAAATAAAAACTTTTACTAACGGGCTCGTTTGTTTGCTTATTTTTGTTTTTCTCCGCTTCTTTTTTTTACAAAATTCATAAAGTATTATGCACTGGGAAGGTTGACGCTTTAAAACTTGCCGTTACGTCTTAAGACGGGACAGTTGTCCTATACGCTGGATTTCATATTGTGTATCGATTTTCTTTTTCACTACAACAGTGCTTCTCAAACTTTCAATACTGGCGCCCCTTTTTCGATCAAAAATGCCCACTGCACATTAATAATGTATGAATGCAATTAGAACGCCGTTATGTAAATGGATCTTAAAAAAGCACAAATTGCAACATAAGTATTAAAAATTTTGTATACTACTTTTAAACAAAATAAATAAATAAATAAAAAATAGGATAATTATTATGTTATTTTTCCTTTCTCTGAAAATTGAACATATTACAAAATGCGATAGCTGCTTAAAAGACAAAATATACATATTTAAATATAGAAAAAGAACTCAGAGGGTCAATTTCTAATAATAAGCATTCCTTATAAAAACATTTGCTTTCCAAAAAGCTCATGGACGTCATTAATATATTAAACTTGTTCTTAATTTAGTGTAAATTGTTATAAAATACAGAAAATGCTAATTTTATAGGTGAGGTGCCTCACATTTTTTTTTTAAGAAAAGAAATATCAGATCTGACTTTAAGCAAAAAACTACAGTTTATTGAAGACATGTTTTTACAAATCGTTCTATATTATTTAGTTTTTTTTTTATCACGAATTGTTATACATAAATGATATAGATATTTGGAAGTTTAAAAAATTGTATCAGGTTCCTTTTTTTTTCGATTTTCGGGAACAAAACAAGTAAAAACTAATTTTGAATAAATAATTAGCATTAATATTTAATCATTACTAACAAATACTTATACGTACTATTTTACTATTTTCAAGGGGCTAGCCTTCTGTGCCCAAGGATTGCAGGTTTGAAGAGCCCAAATCGGTGTATTTTTTTAATATTTACAGAAAATCATGACCCAAGCAGGCGCGCACTCGGTACGGTCGTCACCCCAATCCTTTTTTTTTATGATTATACGGCATGATTCCAGTGAAAAGATCCTAGAGAGTCTGTTTCGACTTTTAATTTTTTCTTTGGTAATAAATAAAAGTTTTGCCAGAATTAACAGGTTCGCGACTATTGATTCATGAGTTACTGCTAAAAAATTGTGTGAAACGTTTTTCGGCGCCTGGATGTCAAATATTTATACCTGCATTGATTGGTCCTTCGCTTGTGTGCGTGTGTATGTGCCTCACAAATAAAAAACTCTTTTGTTTTGAAAAAAGCGCAATAGAGCGGCAAGGGGGTCATAACTAACTGTACCAATCTTAGAAGGTCCATTACAGCTATAAATTTTTAAAAAATAAAACTTTGATATTTTTATGTTCCTTTTTGATTCTGGGTTTTTTTTCGTTTGTTTGTTTATTTTTGTTTTTCTCCGCTGCTTTTTTTACAAAATTCATATTTTTTGTCCAGTATTATGTATCAAAAATGGGAAGTTTTTATTTTTGGGTTAATACGCCTATAAAATTGTTCAATTGTCTGTATTATTTTGTTTTAAGACGGGACTAGTTGTTTTATACGCTTTTATTTCATATTGTGTATCGATTTTCTTTTTCACTACAAGGTTTCATATACATGTTCAAATAGAGTTAAAATTCAGATTTTGAGTTTTCTTAAATTTTATTTTGAAGATTAAGCATCTATACAGTGTGTATCAAAAAGTCAAGTTAAAATAAATTTTGTTTTAAGAACTTTTATTTTAAAAAATTGTTTTAACACTCTGTGTTTCAATTTACTTCATGAAAAAAAATTCTTTAGTAAATATTCTTCTTCCAGGATTTTCGTATTTTGAAAGTTAAATCTATTTTTAAACAAAAAACTTTAGTAAGATATTATTTCGATCTCACATATTTTCAGTCAGGTGAATTTAAATTATATTATCTTTAATAGAATAATTAGCTCAAATAATTGCTTATAAGTATTAATTTAACAGATAATGGATATAGCTTTTAAAATCAAAAATAATAAATTTCTCTCCAAACTTCTATAATTTGTTTACTTTTTAGCTTAAGAAGAAAACTAATGACATGTATAATGATTTCGTATTCATAGATATAGATTTCTAATTAATTCTTATTTAACATTAATTTTTCTGCTGAATTTTAAATAGCTAACTTGATTTTATTTAAATTTTAATCAATATATTACACCCAAATATCAAAAAATACAGTTGGAGCCCAATATAACAAATTTTCGGATTTGTTTAGTTTTCTTTTTTATCTTTTATACGATTAAAAGGAATATTATTACGAATTTTGTGTAAATAGTATAAATAATTTGTATTTGGGTGTTTAATGCATTTATATTACTCTATGCTATATTTATTTCATGTTAAAACTGTACTTTTCACAAGCAATGCCGCCCCTTACGTCATAATGGCGATTCAATGAGAACTTGGCGAAATCTTGGCGGCAGAGCCAAGTTGGCATCATTTTTGGTGACCAAGTTGGTGGCCAATTTGGCGTTATTGGCGACCATGTTGGCGAGTTCGGAACCCTCTGGATTCTTCTAGAAAGTAGTGGATCTCTCCATGAACGTATCGCTCGATGACACGAGCGGTTATATTTCTGAAAGTTTCTGCCGCGCCTATAAATAGGAGTGCCAGCCGTAACCAGTCAGTCTGATTTGAATCAGCAAAGAGTGAGAATTGTTTTGACTAGCTCGGCTATACTTGTGAATAATCTTTTACAAACGTGTATTTTTAAACACTAACAATTGTGTTTGAGTGCTTTTGAAGGTGTTAAGACCTTCGGAGATTTACTCTGTGAATATTGCTGCTGAATCCTGTATTTAAAGGATTGGATTTTTGATAATAAATTCGCATTGCTCTTAAACAACTATTTATTTTCTTTGTGATTGTTTTGCATAAAATCCACAAACCCGGATCTACGTAACAATATTTAAAGAATAATAAACCCTGAATCAACGAATTATTTTAATAACCAAAAAAATATTTTTGTTATTAATGTGTATTTTTAAAAAATCGATTTCTTTTCCCATGACAGCCTTTTTGTCCGAAATAGAACACGCAATATAAAAAAAAATTGAGTCAATTCCTACTTAGGTCAACAAAGAGTGAGTGAGTGAATATTAACGTCACCCTGTTCAGCTACACGAGGGCTTTTGGCGACGGAACTCGTAATTTTGAACCATAGTCAAGTGACAAGGACGACACCTGAGCTGGCATCCCCTCTCCTGACTGCCCCACCACACCAACATGAGAACGTTTGAGCTCTCGGCAAATTTAACGTGCATCGCACCCCTACACGGCGGATCTTTAGGGGTTCTGAGCTCGAACTCGTGACATGCCAGCCAAGATCCGATACCTTGACCACTAGGTCAACAAAGAAACATTTTTGTTTTGTTACTTTTTATTAAATAGTCATAATATTTATATAAGTATGTATATACATGACGGAATCATACTATTAATTGACAAGACAGAAAGCAATTTTCCTTTCTATACATGGGGTTGGACTATTTTTGTTTGTTTGTTACTATTTATTAATAAATTAAATTTAATTATTCTAATAAAATAGTATAGTAAAAAAGAACTCAGATACTCAGAAATTAGGCCATTGCAGATGGGGTTCGAACCCACGACTTTTGGATCGGAAGTTCAACGCGCTATCAATTGCGCTACAGGGGTACAACGAACGTTTTCCCTTTCTATATATGCTGCTGGACTGTTATTTTTTTACTATTTACTTCATTTTTTTAGTTTAATTAATGAATTAATATTTGAAAAAACTTTATTAACATCAAGTTTCATCCAATACAAGTTTATAAAATAGTATTTGAACTTGAATGGATGAATAGAAATTATTTTATTAACGATTGAAAATTTGAATGAGATATACATATACATATATATAAGGAGAAAGTGAACTAAACGTAGGAACTGAAAAAGACTTTTTTTTGTAAATAGAAATTTCAACAGGAAAGGGTGCAGTTCATTATTAGACTTTACTAATATAGATGAGTCATGAATGAGAACTATTTCGTGAATTTTGAACAGGACAGAAAATTCGTTTCACTCCACAACGAAATTGATATTTTAAGAGATTTTACCATTTTTTCTCTTTCTTGAGAGAAGTGAATTTTATGATATGTGCAATTTTACAGAAAATTTTTTTTGAAAGTTCGTGAAGCATGGTAAATTGTCGGAAATGAATAATTAGCTATTTTTATGCAGAAATTGATACTAAAACCCCTATCAAAATTGTTTAATTTTCTAATGCTTTACATTGTTTAGAACCTGTGAAAATATACCTTATGCGGCTGGATGTAAAGGACGCTGAATATTTTTCTTTGCATAAAGTTGAAAAGAGGTCTTCCTAGTCAGAAATAACAAAGATTGCCAAACATTCATTAGTCTATATTGTAAAATGTCCAATTAACTGGGGCATAATAATGAATTAACAATATTTTTAGCTGTTGAATAAATAAATGAGTAATTTCTAACTGAGGTTATTTTTTGTGTGAATGCTTATTGTAAACTTTCCAATGGGTAAGTGTAAAAAATTTGTATTTTTTTGGACCCCGATGTTACGAATAACTCCGATTTAACGAACAAAATGTTCAGTCACATTGAATTCCTTAAATCGGGGTCCGACAGTATATGTATTTCAAAGTTGGAAGTAATTTTTCAATGTTATGCATGTTTCCATAATATTTTTTCCTTATTTTGTGAGAAAGTCATCTTCTAATCTGCACAATAATGCATAATAGTTTTATTTTTACTAACAGTATAATTTTGATACATGCATAACATTGTTTTCTTATGACCTTTCTCATTGAATCAAGGTGTGGCTGCGGTAGCCTATCGGTCAAGGTATCGGATCGTGGCTGACTTGTCGCGAGTTCGAGCCCAGAACCACTAAAGACTCTCCGTGTAGGGCAGTGATGCACGTTAAATCTGTTGAGAGCTCAAACGTCCTCCCGTTGGTGTGGTGTGGTAGTTAGGAAAGGGGTAGCCAGCTCAGGTGTCGTCCTCGACACTTGACCATCGCTCAAAATGACGAGGTCCGTCGCCAAAAGCCATCTTGTAGCTGAACAGTGCGACGTTAATATTCACTCACTCACTCATGGAATCCAGGTGGCTACAATAGCCTAGTTATCATACTCATGAACTTGTGGTTGGCGTGTCCCGAGTTCGAACCCTATTGTCACTGAAGACCCACCTGGAAGAGGGGCTGATGCACGTTAAACCTGTCGTGGTTCAAAGTCCCGTGGTGAGCTGTGGTATTTTTGATAGAGTGCCAGCTCAAGTTTCGTTCTCATCTCTTGAATATAGTTTAAATTTATGAGCTGAGTTGCCAATAGCCATTGAATTACTTAATAGGACAACGTAAGTAAGAGAACTCATTCAATATCTACATTTACTTTTGCAATTCTTTTGACTTTTTTTTCCCACATTGAATTCAAATTTGATATTTTTCTATAGAAATGGATCAAAAATTAACAAAATTACGTTTGTAGATGGCCCCCTTAAGTATGTGCATCCTCATCCTATTGTGATGCGGCTGGTGAAAACAGTTACCCCGGCAACCTGTTGTCAGGGATGCAGAATAGGAAGAGCAACAAGGGGATTACATTTTCTCTATTTTCTCTTCTTCTCTCCGGGAAAGAAAGATTTCTCCTTTTTTTTTTCTTCCACCTTCTTTCTTTATTTGAAATACGGAGATATCAGCAAAGGTTTTGAAAAGTACTGGTACTTATGCATCGTGTTTTTGAAGAGCTGCAAAAAAGAAGTGTTGAATCGGAACAATTGCAGGATGTATTTTTTTTTATTTATTTATATATTTATATTTATCTTTATTTTTTTCCTCCAAACTTAAAACATAACCTTTATCTTTTTTTCTCGCTCTCCGTATTTGAAAAGTAGTAGAGGAGCTTGTACTAGGCAGAGACACGTATGCTGCGCTTCACAGTTCGTGGATTTAAGAATGTCGACATGGAAAACGAATTTGGGTCGAAAACTATTGCCGGGAATTCTGCTTTCTGTTGTGTCGCTTAAAAAGTTTTGGGGGGAATATTTTTCGATGTTAAGTATCACCATGAAAAAAGACATGAATAAATAATAACATTTTAAAAAATTGGGACGCGTGAAAATATTTTAAAAAAAAAGGAATTCCGAGGGATTTTTTTTTAAATTAATAAAACAAAACCGAAATAAATTTAATGACATCGATAAACAATTTATTTTTTGATTTATTAATTTAAAATGTTCTCTCACTATATAAAAAAGTTTTTTGTGATGTAATTTAATAAATTTATCTATTTATCTAAAAAACAAGAACAATAATAAAAGTGTATTTAAAGGGAAAAAATGATGAGGAGCATTGTTTTTAACGAAGTGCTAAAATGAAATACAATATAAAATGCGGGGATGAAGACCTGAAATTTTTTACAGTACATAATAGTTTACAACATAATACATGCAAATTACAGTTTTATAATTTGAGCAATGAGTATAACAGTTTTATAATTTTTACAATGGGGGTTGGTCCACCGAATGGTGGGTTGATAGGAGATGTATCCCCCCCGTCAGTGTTAAAGAAAATTTTTAATTTTTAAAAACATTTTAAGTATGATTTATATATATATTTATAAACTACTTAGCTCACGAAACTGCCAGACTTTCTCTCTCTATCTCTATCTCTCTCTCGTTCATTCTGTTCTTTTTTTTTTTTCTTTTATAAAGCGCCTTTGTACTGTTTTTTCCTTTAAATTTTTTTAGTTCATGAGATTCATGCTTGATGTATATACAGTGGCGCACACAAGGGGGGGGGTTCCCTGGGTCTTAGTCCCCCCCTTAGCCTTTGATTTTAGTTTTGATTGATTATAATCCTATGTACATAATACGTAAAATTTAATTCAGTATTTGTTATTAATAATTAACTTTATTTATTAATGCTAATAATTTATTCAACGATTAATTTTTCACTGTTTTTAGTTCCCGAAAATCGACAAAATTAAAAGAATATGTTGGGCGGCATATTGAAGCATGATACGAAAATGGTGGACTTCGACCCTAGACCCCCGCCCCTTGAAAAAAATTTGTGTGCGTCACTGTGTGTATATATATATTCTTTACTTTTATAAAGGGTGTTTTTATAGAGGTATAGAACTTTAAATTGCAATAAAACAACGATGTATTATTCGATTGACATGAATTTTTTTTATTCGAAAGATAATCTTGTGGCATTACATTTTAAATATGATTTCTGGCATAGGACTGCCACGGCTGGCTCGGATGTAGTCCAATCTGACGTCCACTTTTCGATGATTTTTTCTAACATTTGTGGCCGTATATCGGCAATAACACGGCGAATGTTGTCTTCCAAATGGTCAAGCGTTTGTGGTTTATCCGCATAGACGAAAGACTTTAGATAGCCCCACAGAAAATAGTCTAGCGGTGTTAAATCACAAGATCTTGGAGGCCAATTTACAGGTCCAAAACGTGAAATTAGGCGGTCACCCAACGTGTCTTTCAATAAATCGATTGTGGCACGAGCTGTGTGACATGTTGGGCCGTCTTGTTGGAACCACAGCTCTTGGACATCATGATTGTTCAATTCAGGAATGAAAATGTTAGTAATCATGGCTCTATACCGATCACCATTGACTGTAACGTTGTGGCCTTCATCGTTTTTGAAGAAGTACGGACCAATGACTCCACCAGCCCATAAAGCGCACCAAACAGTCAGTTTTTCTGGATGTAACGGTGTTTCGACATACACTTGTGGATCAGCTTCATTCCAAATGCGGCAGTTTTGTTTGTTGACGTAGCCATTCAACCAGAAGTGTGCTTCATCGCTAAACAAAATTCGCTTATGAAAATCGGGAACAACGGCAATCTCGTTTTAGGCTCATTCGACGAATCTACGCCTTGCTTGATGATCGTATTGATGAATTGCCAAACCAAACTGAAAATAAATCACTTGACAGCTGTTAAATCGTTCGCCATCTATGCATCTATTCAAGTTCCAATACATTCTTTTAAAACTTGTAGTGGATGACACTTGATGTTAATAGAGTTTTTTCAAATATTAACTCATTTATTAAATTTTAATTTTTAATTTATGCCGCTTTATTTCTGTGAAAGTTGAACTGGTTGCAACAGATGACGCCAGTGCGTTTTCCTAACGAAGTAGGAATTGACTTTAAAAAATAAAAAAAATTGTAATACTTGTTAGTATGTAAAAAACGTTATAAAACATACATTGGATCATTGAGGTCCTCAAAAAATGTTTTTCAATTAATTCAAACCATTAATTTATATACTTAAGAATCTATTTTGGAGAGTAGAATGTTTGATGCACTAAAGTGAGTGAGTGTTTATCGTCGTCGCACTGTATAGCAACACGAAAACTGTAAGTAACAGAACTCGTAATTCTGAGCTTCGATCAAATGACAACACTTGAGCTGGCACCTCACTATCTTAATTTCCACATCGGGCCAACATGAGGACTTTGTTTCACGACAGATTTAACGTGCATTTGTCTCTACACAGTGGTTTTTCAATTGCAACAGGACTCCGACGTGTGACTGGGCAATACTGTCCACGAACTCGTGACCACAGTGGCGTACACAGGAGGGAGGGGTCTTCGGGTCCTGCCCCCCAAAGCCCTTAATTTTTTCCGATTGAA